TTTGATCGTGCACTGTTTGCAATTAGCAATGTTAATTTTGAGTCTAATGTTATCTCGTCATTAGAAAAAAGTCTTATTTTTATCCTCGATTCTTAATCAAGCTCAATTTGAAGAACCAGAACAAAAAATTGAATGGAATCAAAATAATTACGAATTACTTTTGAAATTTAAGACTAAAGTTATGAATTATTTCCAATAATACCTTTAGTATTAAATAAATAATAGGAATAATTTTTTAATACTATTCAATTCTTAAAAAATATTTAATAGGCGCAATTAATAAATTAAACTTTTAAAAAAAGAAAAAGAAAAGAAAGGGTGAATGGGACGGAGAAAGTAATGAATATGCCAAAAATACTGGCAGATACGACAAGATATCGTGACGACTAGTTGACGATAAATAAAAGGAAATTGCCGAATCAACAAAACAGAAGGAAAGAGAAATACTGATAATTACAGGAGACAGAGAGGTTCAAATAGTATGAGCCGACATGCATTCATTTACCAAAATATTGATAGATGCTTTCTTCGCACTCACCATCTCAGGCTCATCTCTTTTCTCCTCATCAAACTCTTAGCTAATTTTAGAAAAACCCAAAACCAAACAAAGAAAATTCAAGAAGAAGAAATCAGCAGTGCATGATATGGATCCTTGCCCGTTTGTTCGTTTGATAATTGAGTCATTAGCTCTTAAACTTCCAACAGCAACAAAACCTGCTGGTTCTGGTTCTGGAGTTCACCCTTGTTCAACTCCTTGCTATGCTAAACTCAAGCTCAAGAATTTCCCTTCTCAAACTGCCATTCTCCCTCTCTGTTCCACTTCTCAATACCCTTCTTCTCCGCCTGAGTCCTCCGCCTCAGCCGCCGGGTTCCATCTAGACGCCGTCACTCTCCGGCGTCTCTCTGGAAAGCCCGTTTCGTTAAAAGTGTCCGTTTTCACGGGGCGCATGGGTCGCACGTGCGGTGTTACCAGTGGGAAGCTGCTGGGATCGGTTCAGGTGAGCGTTAACTTGAATGGGACACATTCAAAGTCCAGCGTGTTTCAAAATGGGTGGATGAAATTGGGAGGCGAACCGGCGGTGGCTGTGTTGCACATGGCTGTCCGGGCTGAACCGGACCCGCGGTTCGTGTTCCAGTTCGGAGGTGAACCGGAGTGCAGCCCGGTGGTTTTCCAGATCCAGGGGAATATAAGGCAGCCGGTTTTCAGCTGCAAGTTCAGTGCTGATCGCAACAACCGGACACGGTGAGTCCCTCCCCATTGTTTTCCCGCGCATTTTACCTTTCCCTTCCCACTGAAAATTCTAACTTGCGCCGACGTGTTCTTTTTCATTTACTTTTTGCTATGGTTTTGTTTTATATTTGTTGTTAACAAAAATAATTGTGTCGCTTCTTTTTACTGTAGTTGTTAATTTGTTATGAGAGAAACATGGTTACTGGTCAAACTAAATTGCTTTGTTGAAACGATTAATCAAGTGGGGTGGGGGCAGGAAATTTTGCATAATTTAGATTCTACAGCTCACCCTCTAACAATTGTCAATACTACTTTAAAAAAAATAATTTTGTCATTAAGTGCTTAGAAATAGATTTGCAAAGACAAAGCATTTAATTTTAACTTTAGAAAAGATTAGTTGAAAGGATTATATCCTCGCAAATTCGCTCATTACTAACAAAAGAGAAAAATAGAATAAACAATTATTGGTTGGAACTCAAAGGGAAAACGTCTAGTGATGAGAATTGTAGTGGTAGCTTCATTTGGTGTTTTAGGGATTAGGTAGCCTCCTCACATGATTCGACTTGTTGTCTATGTAAAAACTTGCTTCTCCAGAAGCTGAAGTATTTCTCACTCTCTGAAGAGTCACATGCATGTTGTGTGAACGGCTGCACATGCTTTGAGTACAATCTCTAAGCTATGGAACTTTCTTATTTGCAAACATGATCATCAACTTTCCGTAGGTTTAGAGTGCTTTACATTGTTTGAATTTTGTTTCTTTCTTCTGCAATTGGGAGAAGGGGAGCCTAGGCGTAACTGATAAAGTTGATGTCACGTGACCATGAAGAATTTTGTATCTTTCTTCTGCAATTGGGAGAAGGGGAGCCTTGGCATAACTGGTAAAGTAGCCTTCATGTGATCAGGAGGTCACGGGTTTGAGTCGTGGAAACAGCCTCTTATAGATATGCAGGGTAAGACTGCGTACAATAGACCCTTGTGGTCCAGTCCTTTCCTGAACCCCGCGCATAGCGGGAGCTTAGTGTATCGGGGGTGTCCCTTTTTTTTCCCTCTGCACTTGGGAATTCATACAATAATGTTCCCTTAGCGGATATGAAGATACAGCATCTTTAGGATTCTTGTTTGCTAGATCTACTCATTGTGACTTCTAAGTGGTTAGCCCATAGTTCAGTGCTGTTTTGTACAATTGTAAGCTGCACAAATCATTTAATTCATTATTCTACTTGCTTATGTCCTTTTCAATTTTAAGTGATCTGATAATCTGAAGGCGGACAATTCATTAGTGCATTTTGTGTCCATTGCATGTGAAGAGAAAAAATGACAAAAATACAGCTTGTTTCAAAGGATCCTGTATCCTGACCTCCTTACAATTTGAATCCTCTTACTTCTTATGAAGGTTTAGATTCGTCTAGTAATGAAAAAGATTAGAGAATAGACAGCATTAACTCCTAGGCGCAACTGTCATTAGCAACTACCATTGATTCCCTCCCCATGTGCAAAAATTTGGGCAAAACCTTCATAAACTGGTTAATATTCTTCTTTGACTTTTCGTTTCCTTCAAATCAACTACTATTACCAGTCAAAGTATGGAGTAGAGTATTGTTCAAGTTATTAATTTTGTTTATACGTGGTCCTGAAGCTGATATTTTCTTTCTTCTTTTCATTTTTGTAAAAACAGATCTCTTCCAACTGATTTTAACTTGGGCAATAGAGGATGGATGCGAACATTTTCTGCTGAAAGGGACAGACCGGGGAGGGAGCGAAAAGGGTGGATGATAATTATCTATGATCTATCAGGGTCAGCTGTTGCAGCTGCCTCAGTGATCACTCCATTTGTGCCCTCTCCAGGTTCTGACCGTGTTTCACGGTCAAATCCTGGTGCGTGGCTTATCCTCCGGCCTAATGGATCCTGTGTTAGCAGCTGGAAACCATGGGGTCGTCTTGAGGCGTGGCGCGAAAGAGGGCCAGTTGATGGACTTGGTTACAAATTTGAGCTTGTTACTGACATTGGTCTTACTAGTGGTGTACCTATAGCTGAGGGCACAATGAGTATGAAAAGAGGTGGGCAATTTTGCATAGACAACACAGTAAAAGACTCTGCACTGAGTTCATTATCGCCTATTCGAGGATTTGTGATGGGATCAAGCGTTGAAGGCGAAGGCAAACCAAGTGCTCCAACAGTTCAAGTTGGGGTACGACATGTAACTTGCATGGCCGATGCTGCCCTATTTATCGCACTTTCAGCTGCCATTGATCTTAGCATGGACGCGTGTCGCCTCTTCTCTCAAAAACTTGGAAAGGAATTTTGCAATAATGCTCAAGAGTCATTCTCATAAATTGAAAAGCTTTTCGCCCTGCAGTTTTTGTTCACTCGCATGCAGTGATGACCAAAGAATGGCAGCTGGTTTGAGCATGGAAGAAACCCCTTTCCCTCCCATGGTTTTTACATTCGAATGATTTTCAACCTATATATATATTTTAATTAATTCTGGAAAACAAAACATGACTTTTTCTATACCCGATTAGGGTGTGACCCTGGAGTGGCCTGTGAGTTGTAGGTATATTTTCCCTATTTGGAAATCAACATTTTGTGCTGGCTCTAATTCCATTTTGTCCCATTTCTGCAGAGGTGAGCATTATATCTGTTTTTTCAAAGTACTTATTAACAATGTACAGACTAGGAATGAGTGATTTGTTTATTAAGATTATTCAATTTTTTTTCTTTCGATTCATTGTATTGCTCCAGACTCCAGAGCGGGTTGCGCTCCCTTCATATTTGTTTCTTCCCCATTCATTTTTGCTGTTTCAGAGCATGCTGTTTGTTCCTTAAATCCTAATGCAAGTATTCAATGTAAACAGAGATTAGACACAATATATATGCAGAAATACAATCTTGAGTTAGGGTTAAATAAATGTATCCTTTAACTTCATTGACACAGTAGCTATTGGCGGTTAAGCCTTACCAATTTCGACAATCCATTGGCTATCACGCTCAAATAGCACGGAGAACACAAACGATGAGACGTAAACCGTTGTCACTCTGCTTTCAAAGAACATAATACGCTAGGGTTATTTAGGGTTTGGCCTCTATTTATAGAGTGTCTACTCATCACAATCTAATAGTTAGTTATTAGGTACCGCATACAATAAACATTAATCATATCATTTATTTTACTCGCCTACATGCTTAACTTTGCGACTTTGATAATATGATTATAACTTTATGCACGAGAGCTTAATTGACAAATCATTTAAACCGTTCGAAATTAGACTTCAAGAATTACAATATTCATTTAGAAATCATGACCAAATTATTTGTAAATCAAGAGTGATACTCTGTTGAAGTTTGATCATGTGTTACCCGGTAGATACTATTGCTCCCAACCCAAATTCCCAAACATCTCTTTGCCTTAATTCGCATTATCTATGGCCATCTTTTTCCTTTAAGTTCCATTCCCAAATTGTCTCTAACTGACTAACTTCATTTTTTATGCCTCCAAATAGCTCCTTAGCTCTATTTTGGCCTCCAATGTACCTATATCAAATAACTAACAACTTAGGCAAAATTCTTGGAATAAAACCTCAAACAAGTCAATTAATCATAGAAAAAAAATCATAAAATATATAATATAAATCCAAGTCATCATTTTTGCACATATTATGAGTATCTATTGCACATACAAAATTAGTTTAGGGACTAATTTTATTAACTCTCCAAATACAAAATTATAAATCTTATTAGAAGGCAGAAAATCATACGTATATAATAATGACAGAATGTGACGGCTTCATTTTTGATTGGGCAAATCCGGTTCCGGTCTCTTCTTCCCTAGCTTGACGATTCCAGATTATGCTAGCCTATCATGGCGTACGCTCAAAACTTAATGTTAGCTCTTTTCATCTCCTTCACCTTCGTCTCCACCTCATTCTCTCAGTCTATTCTCGGAATCACCCCCGAAATCTTACAACTTTTAACCATCAATCGCCACCGTAAGATTCCCAAAGACAATAACAATGCTTTGTACTGTGAGAGCTGGCGGTTCACCGTTGAGACTAATGATGCTGGTTTCTGGGCTTTGATTCCCGAAAGGTGCGCTTCTTTCGTCCAGGACTACATGAACGGCGATCGTTACTCTTCAGATTGCGGTGCGGTGGCTGACCTGTCGCTGGCGTTTGCCAATACGGTTAAGGTTTCAAACGATGGAAAGGACGCTTGGGTCTTCGACATTGATGAAACTTTGCTCTCCAACTTGCCCTACTATGTCACCCATGGCTTCGGGTAACTTCTAATTTTCTCTATTTTTCATATGCATTTGTGGGTATCACTATAATGTTTGGACGTCCCTTTTGTTAATGATTTTGAACAGTTTCAGTTTCTGTGTAATTTGTGCTCTGGTATAGTGCTGTTGGTTTCATTTTGTTTGTTAAAAACTTGCTAATTCTGTGGATATATTTGTCTTGGGGAAAGATAGCATTTACTCTTAATTCACATCAACATCAGCTAAATATGAATAAATAAGAAATCCTAAAGCGATCATGCCATTAGATGTGATTGCAAAACTTAGGCAATATTATTGATAGGCTGCTGCATAAATACACAAAATCGGCCTCACTGAGATCTCATGTATGCTTTTGGACAAAGTTTTTGATAATTAACTAACTCAAAAGACTGAAGTTCCAATTTGTTGGTCTTGCTTCAAAGATCACCTGTAGCTTGTAAAGTTGTGAAAATTCCTTCTTCTGCCTTCATGTCCAACCGTCTTCTTTTGCTAGGAAAAGCTTATATACTTGTTGGTCTGCATGATTTTCATTATGCCATATTGAAGTAGATCATTAGACGTACCTAAATATACAAAATATTCATTTTATTGTGGTGATTATGATTCTAGTAACTCTTAGTTGAGCATCCGTTAGTACTTTACAAGTATCCTCTGCAAGATAAAGTATTACTGTGAAAGTAGTGCGAGCATGCACATCTGAATCTAACCATAACAAACAAGTGTGACAAAGCTTTAGGAACTCTCACTCCATCTTCATGCCATAACCTTTGTTTATTAAGCAATCATGCAACAACCACTTGCTACATACTCAGAAGTGCGCAGAAAGAACAGCCTAATGGTTCTATGCACTCTGTACCTAAAGACTCTCAAAATCTCCAATCCACAGATTTTTTGATGAGTAAAATCTCCGATCCGCAGTTCAGCCATTCAAACAGGCTGAGAGGTGTTATTTTGCAGCTTCATGCATTAGCTTGTTTACTTATCTATTTCTTTACTTACCCAAGCCTGATAGGACTTCGAGGTGAAAATTAGACTCCATTGATGCAATTAGAAGGCTTAGTTGTAGTCCTTTGAAGCTAGCCTCGCAAATTTTCATCTTTTTTAAAAGCAGTAGGAATGAACTTTTATCCAAATTATGTTCTCTCGTAGAAGCATGGTGATTTGATTTTCCATAGTTTTTATTTCTATTTGAATTTTCCTAAATCCTAGAATGCAAATTTAATTTAAGTAATATCAGTGTATTCTTTAACTGTGAACCTAAAACAGTAATGGTTTGAGATGTTGGTTGAGATGAATGCCTAAGCTTCTTTCTATGTGACAGTAGACTGGTGTTTATCAAGGATCAAGGTGTATATTGCATTTGGTTAGAGTGTAACATGCTTGAAGTTTCTAAGCAATATAATCTTCAACTCATTTTCTATAACTGGCAATTTTCCTAGTTTCTGCTTTATGGAAAAGCTTTAGGGATACTCCATTATGCCTCTTTTACCAATTAACCATAAGATGGACGAGTCGCTGTCAAAAGGTAAATATTTTAAAAACAATCCGCTGTTTAGCCTGGAAAACTTGGTATTCTACTTAAGAAAGAAGTATATACTACAATTTGTGTACTTTCTTGAGGATTACTCTGTTTTAATGCTACACATTCCGGTTTTGAACTATTTATTTAAGTACAAATGTTGAGCCAAAGTTATGTTGAAAATTTAACCCTTGGTTTCAATGTTCATAAGGTGGTTTTCCATTTAAAGTTGACTTCCACGTGATACTGCTAACCAAGAAGATTCTAATTATTTAGTGTAGTTTGGCTGACACAGGAGGGTCAGTTTAGATGTTCTGATTTAAAATCGATTGCACTTTGTAAACTTTTACTTGCTTGTGCATTCTGATCATACAACTCAATAGTTGTAGGGCAATGATTGTCTAATCTCGTGCTGGGCAGATATGAAATGGTTTAGTGATGGAAAGAATTTATTACCTGCTAAAGTAGTTATCATTTTGTTTTTCTTTAAGATTTAGCGTTTAAGCCATTATGCTTTGGAAGCAATATTTCATAAGGTCTGGTGTGGTTAATGACTATTAAAAAAAAGGATTTCATTTGGTTTTGTCAATCTCGAAAGTAAATTTAAGAAGTTATATGGTATTACCAGTTTAAAGTTCTATAATTCTAGAACCTACAACAAGAGAAAGTCATGTCGTTTTCGCGAGTTTAAGTTCAAGCAGACATTTATGGTAAAACTGGGAGGGGATTACCAGTTACTAGAATGTAGCTTTATTTGGATGCTCCTCGAGTTCTCGTTCTGTAGTTCTACCTATCCGCATTCTTGATTTACTGGATACTCTATGCTTTACCAAAAAGTCTTGGATAAACAGGGGTAAGAATATTGTCAAAATTAAACAGTCGGCTAAGTATTCCCCTTGTTTGTCAAGAAAATAATAGAAGAAAGTGTGCCTCTTGTTGACTTTTGATACTTAAGTATTTGAAGTCCAGTTGAAGACGGTGTAGATCGTTTAAAGTGTACCTAAGACCTTGAAATTTGGTGCAACATGGGCTTGGTGTCTCGCCTCACATGGATTGCTTTCCACAAGGTACTAAGGTGTGTGCCTCATCACGCATGAGCTCTGCCTTGAGGAGGGAAGTACTAAACAATAAACATATCTAAAAAATTATATGTTATTTGTGTAAAAAGCATTATAAATGAATATTCAGTGATTAAGAATAGGAAATTAAGAAATTTTAATAGAAACTAGCCATAAATTTTGAATTAGAAACTTAAAATTGCATCTTTGCATCAATTAGGATTCTTAAAATGATTTTTGAACTTGATTCATATGATTTTTAATTCGTATATTTCACTTAATCTCATCTGTGCACGATAGAAACTGTAACCTTACTTGTAGAATTAGGTTGGTAGAAGAAAATGATGTCATGAAAAATATAAGGATTAGAAAAGTCTATGGTCCAAATGGTATCCCAATAGAGGTTTGAATGTGTTTTGGAGAGGTTGGAGTAGGACGGCTCACAAGCTATGTAATGCTATCCGAAGGATAGAAAGAAGCACTAGTGGAATGAAATCATGCTTAGAAAGAAAGGTAGGAGAAATAGCCCTTTAATGACTAAAGGAAAGATGTTATACAAGGTGTTATATCTACAAGATAAGTGGCAAAGATGCGGAGGGCCAAGATGGTTGTGTGGTCATAGGGGATTAGGTAAGATTAAAAATGATCATATTTGGCAAAAAGTGCAAGTAGCACACATTGAGGATAAATGAGAGAAGGTTGCTTGAGATGGTTTGGCCATGTTCGAACTCCTATGTCAACGTCAAAATACACCGGTTAGTAGGTGTAAAAGCATGGTGAGAGGAGGTGTTAAGAAACGACAAGGTAGACCTAAAATCACATGAGGAAAGTAGCCTGGACCTATAACCTCTTGGAATCTATGTAGGCCTATTGAAAAATATGGCTAAATGGAAGAAAAAGATCTATATGGATGATACTAATTAGTTGGGATTAAACTTTCATGTTGATACATATACTTTAGGTCCTATATTTTTTGGAGTCTTTTAGTCATATCAAAAATTTAGTTATCAATGGATAATATTGAGAACTTTTACTACTTGTTTTTTTCCGTTTTGTTATATAATATAATATTAGATTGTTTTGAGCTTAAATGGATCGACATGGTTAATGAGGATTCATATAGCTGATCCCAACTTGTTTGGGGTTGAGGTGTTATGTTGTTCTTATTGTAGTATATTTCACTTAATATTTTTTCTTTCAATTTCTTTGTCCATGTAATAGTTGTTGTTTGCGTTTTTATCTTTTGGCATTATATATATATTTTTTATTTCTTTCTTGATTTGTGCTTTTCTTCGTTAAAACCCTCACTTTAATTGCGCTTTTCGCCTAAAGCCTCTGTTGACATTACTTTTCTAGGCTTTCGCTTTGACAACACTAGTTGAAGATCCACTTTGCCGTCAAATGTTCATTTCTCTGTAATTCTTTTGATTCTTTGTTGTTGTTGTTGTTGTTGTTGTGTTGTCATGTGGTTGATCACATTTTGCTGTTGTAACTTGTATGTAGATCAGAGATCTTTGATGAAATCGCCTTTGACAAATGGGTAAATGAAGCAGAAGCTCCTGCTATACCTGCAAGTTTAAAACTGTACAAGGAGCTACAACAGCGAGGATTTAAGATATTCTTGTTGACTGGTCGGAGTGAATTTCAAAGGAATTATACAGAAAAGAATCTGGTGTATGCTGGATACAGCAATTGGGAAAAGCTTATTTTGAGGTATTCAAAAAAACTCTCATATTTTCATATTGTGTTCCTTTATTTGCAATTGGTGCACAGATGGTTGTATAAGTAAATGTTGGGCCAAATAACTTTAAAATCTGTGGCTGAACCTTTGCAATGGAACAGGGGACCTTCTGATAAAAGTAAACTGGCAACCCAATACAAATCTGAGAAAAGAAAGGAATTAGAAGATGAAGGTTACAGGATTCATGGGAGCTCTGGAGATCAGTGGAGTGACTTGAACGGTTTCGCTGTTGCCAAAAGGTCCTTTAAACTTCCAAATCCCATGTACTATATTGCGTGATGATAGAGGACTTGTCTAAAGTATGTTCTTTGACATTGCCATTAGCTGCTACTATTGAACTTGTGTATAACATTTTTTCACAAGATGTGAAAGACGCCTTGATCGATCTAAATTGATCTCTTACTTTTTTAATGATTGTAAGCTTCCATGGATTTTAAGATTTTAACTTGGTGCGTCAACTTGATTTTCTTCGGACAAATAAATGAAAATGTTACTAAAATTAGCTTTGCTATTTTCTGGGAGGTATTAATGCAGCTAGAGAAATACTATTTTGGGAAAATCTTAGTCACGGGTTACAGGCGTTAAAATAACCTCTAACATCTTTGCAGAAATGCAGGTGAAAGTTGCATATGGGATAAGCCCGCTTTCCCCATCCTCGTGTTAACAGGGTAACAAGACGTGCACAGGGTAAATCCTTTACTATTTTTCATAGCCATACTTTAGTCCAATTGTTCTTGCGATATAATCTGAGGTGATTTCTTTGAAAACAGCTGCCATTTGAGCGATACCTGATCTCAATCAGCCCTCTTAAAAAGATGGGTGCATACCAAGCAACACCATTTTGAAAATGAACCCACCATATCCATATATACGTAAGACTTGATTTTGATGGAACAAAATGCTAGTGTCATGTTGCTAACAGCCTTAGCAAAAACATCACATGAAGGACCTGTAACTTTACTGGCTTTAGGAAATTAAAAAGGACCTGTGGAATAAATAGGGATTTTGGGCCTCTTACCATGAATCGCAATGCTTGGTATTTTGGGGTCTGGAATTCTGGGTTTTGGGCAGTAGCAAATCGTCCATCTTCCTAAATCAGGTACTCACAAATTAGGGAAAATGCCATTCAGCAATCAATTCAACTGTTCCTCACGTGAAACTTTTTTCTGTAGGTCATTATGTTTTTCTTTTGTATCCTTTCTAGTTATATTTTTCTCATACTTGAGCATATAACTACTCCATGTTCTTGAAGGCACAACCATAGTAAATGCTCTTATAGTCCACACCACATACAATACCACAGCATGTGGATGTTTGTTGAGTAATGTGACATCCAACCATTTTATTTGTCGTTGTTAGTTGTGGTACTTAGTACTGCAACCATTTAACATATGATACAACAATAATTACGCCTTAGTCGCAAACAAAGTTGAAGTCCGGTATTATGAGAATTTATCATGAATTGACAAATCTTATGCTGGTTGCGAGCCTATCGCAATTCTCCTTTATTCGAGCGTGGGATAGACAATGTGAGTAAGCCCACACAGTCAAGATATGATAAAGCATGAAAACATCACTCAGCAAGCTATTAAAATAATGAACAGAACTATATCCAAACTATTAATTACTTGACTTGGAGAAATAAATTTGTAGCTACAAGTCATAACTTCTCTATGTTATAATGAAAACAGCCAGCCCATACTAGCCTGTTATCCAACAAACATAAAGAATATTGGTCAGAGTGCCCTGATTTCACTCCCAAAATCTCAAATTAAGAAAAAAAAATTAAATTTTATAAAAATCAAAATCAATGAGAAGGAGGTGTTGACACAATTTCTTCTTCACTAATTATTGACCCACAAACAAGAGGCTTAGCTGAAGGTATTCTAAGACAACTAAGACTACCACCAGGAATGAGAGAACACTCTGGTTGAGGCCTTTGCATTTGCTTACCTGGAATACAATTCAATGAGAAATCAAACCCCACATTCCTATAGGGAAGTTTGTCACAATCTTGGCTCAAACCAGAGAAGAAATTGTAAGTAAGAGTCAAATTGATAAGGCTTCTCAATGAACAAACCAAGTCTGGTAAATCCCCAGAAAGTTTGTTGTGTGCTAAGTTGAGTACCTCAATCCCACTCAAGCAAGAAAGAGTATCAGGCAAATGCCCCATTAATGAATTGAAACTCACATCCAAAACTTGCAAATCTGTCCACATACCAACCCCTTCTGGAATACAACCAGTTAACTGGTTATTTAGGAACAAAATCTCCTTAATTCTTGGACCCATGTACCCCAAACTAAATGGAATGTTCCCAGTCAACTTGTTATTAGCCAGATTGATAACTGAAGATGGAGAATTCCCTAAATTCTGAGGAAGTTCACCATCAAACTGGTTGTTATTAAGAAAAATAGCATCAAGTTTTTTGTTGAAAAGGTCTTCTGGAATTGGCCCTGAGAAGCTGTTAAATCTGAGGTCTAAATAAAGAAGATTTGGGATGAGTAAAACAGCAGTAGGAAATGTACCAGAAAAATGGTTATTACTGAGGTCTAACTCAGTAAGAGAAGTAAGGTCTCTGAAAGTTTGCGGAATTGGCCCTGAAAATCTGTTACTGTTGAGATGAAAAATGGACATTTCTGCTAAAAAGGACAGTTCCTTAACAAGAATGCCTTGTAAATTTGCATGGTTTAGATCAATACCTGCAACAACTAAAGTTGGGTTGCCCATATAATCTTGAGATTCTGAACAAAAGACTCCTTTGTAAGCACAAACATTTGTACCAACCCAACTATTCAAGATTCCCAAAGGGTCATCTGTAATTGCTGATTTCCATGTTTGAAGAGCAGTGTAAGCTTTGTTAATATCAGAAGAAGTAGGACTTGGGCTGTTAATTCCTCCTCCAATCCAAACACCCCCACCCCCCACCCCACCACCAACACCTACCCCCATACCAACACCACCACCTACACTCATTGCAGCTTCAGTGGCAATAATTTTGTGAAGGAGAAAAACCAAAAACCAAATGTTGCCCATTTTTCAAAGAACTTTTTGATGGGGTTTTCTTGCTAGGTTGTGCAAAATATGGTTAAGTATAGCATTGAATAAAAGATGATGTGAGATTTATTGTTAGCTTTTGAGTGAAGCTTTTATTGTAGTATTTGGTATTGGTATATGAACAGTATTACACAATAAATGTCTTCTCTTACACTATACATCAAGTTGTCTTCTCTTACACTATACATTGACAAAAATGCCTTTTTGTCAATGTACAAAAATTGACTAGTCATTAAGCAACTGTTCATGATAATGAAATTCCGGACTTCCGGTTAAGTAACATTAAATTTTCTTTAAAAATGGGATTTTTGCAGCCTTTCACGGCCACGTTTCTTGTGAGATAGATTTATTTAACAAAAAAATGGAGGTAATGCAGGTAATATCATTACGGTTCCTAATGATTTTTAGGCAATGGCCTTATTCTAAAGAGCATGGAAAGGAGTTTTGGACAGTGGAGGACTAATGTTACCGCACAAATTAAAATAAAAGAAACTTGTTTTCTCTCTTTTTTCTGTAGGAGTGGGACAAATGGTCTACGGACTAAGCAATATTAATGATGAACTACTCCCCGTTCACTTTTATTTGTTCACTATTGACTTTGCACATCCTATAAGAAATAATAAATAAAGTGCATAATTTATCATGATATTCATATTAATTGGTGTATAGTCTTAATGAATTTGAAAAAGGGTGAAAATCATTTACATCCCTCAAGTTTGCTTTAAAAATCAAACTCATCCTCCAACTTTAAACAATTATCATTATGCTCCTCATATCAAAGGTGACTTCTTAAAATGCCTATTTTACCCTCTAAAATTTGTATCTCTTAATTATTTTTATTTTTTAATATAATAATATTTTTATATTTTAATTTATGTTATCAACTTACCTATAAACAAATTAAAAAAACTTTTTCGAAACCAAAAAAAAAGTAGTAGTAATCAAGCATATAAGTTAATGATGTTCAATAGTCAAATAAATGAGAAAAATAAAAAATAAAAAAAAATAATTTACTCGTATCAATAATTTTATTAATAGCAATCAAAATTCAGTCTATTTACAAAATTGAGAATAAAAGAGAGTGAAACTTTTATAAATTATACAATACAGATAATAAGAATTTAATGGACGAAAAATAGAGGTAAATTTTATAATAAATTTGCAAAAATTATCTATTTATACGTTACATGAACTTTAATTATAATTTAGAAAAGATCTAGTAATTACAATCAAACTTCAAAAATTTATATACACGTAGAGAATAATAAAAATATCGGATCTTAAAATCACACACACACCGCATACATTATATGCATTTTAATATACATAATATTAAAATAATAATAATAATAATAAAGTAGGAATACATTTTGTAATAAATTCATAATATGATTATTTTATTTATAATGTTAGTGAACTTAGATTAAATTATATAATGAGTTATAATATTTTTAATATATGAATAAGTACATGCATTAAAAAATATCTAAATAATATAAAAAATGTATTACATATATGTGGAGTAGGGGTGTTCATGGTTCGGTTTGGATCGGTTTTTCCCTAAAAAGAAACCAAACCAAGTAAGTCAGTTCTTAAAATGTTGGAGCCAAATCAAACCAATTAAGTCGGTTTTTTAGGGATTCGATTTTTGTCGGTTTTTATCGATTTTTCGGTTATTTATCAGTTTTTTCTTAAATATGAGACATACACTACCAAAAACATATTCCGGTGACTTCATTTTCAACGTAACATTATCAAATCAATTGCTTTTTGAGAAATCTATCATTTACCATGATATATTGATGATAATTGAATCAAATAGTGATGAATAATTTAAGTACTCAATTAAAAATCGATTATTTTTAACATGAAATAATTCTTGTACTTAACAAAAGTAAACTACCAATCAAACTAGAATGTAAAGGCAAAGAATTAGATTATTGTTATAGCAAAGAACTAGACTTAAAATANATATATATATATAGGTGTAATAATAAATTTAAATAGCTACTTCTATAGTCGGTTTGGTTTGGTTTTTTTCGGTTATTTTTTTTATTAAAACCAAAACCAAACCAAATTTGATCGATTTTTTAAATTGAAAACCAAAACCAAACCAAACCTAAAAAGTATCCGGTTTTTTGGTCGGTTTGGTTCGGTTACGATTTGGTTCGGTTTTTCAGGTTTTTTTGAACACCCCTAATGGGGAGTCGAAAATGTCAACATTGCATAGGATAAAAAGGATGAAAATGATAATTGTTTAAAGTTGGAGGATGAGTTTGATTTTTAAAGTAAACTTGGGGATGTAAATGGTTTTTACCCATTTGAAAAATGATTTGGAATGAACAATTAATGTTAAGGGCAAAACTGGAAGAAGCAAATTATTTTTCTCTTGATATGCAAAAGTAGACAAGTAAAAATTGAAAATATATTTTTAGAATAGTGAACAAGTAAAAGTGGATCTGTACTATTAGGGTTTTTGTGGTACATGTCCCCTTATAAATAGAAAGAGACATTGTTATGGGGGACATTGAGCACTCATTTGTAAGACAACACATTGACATTATCTGAAGATTCTTGCTTTATTATACACATACAAAATATACATTTTTCTTGAGATTCCTGTCTAACTTTTCTCCCACGATCCAAGGAGAATCCGAATAATCAAAGGCTCATCAATCATTCATCATTGTTAGAAAGAATACTAAAGAATCTAATCCTTTTTAGGCGACTCACATCCTTTTATTTACTTAAATATCATTCATTATTATTTATTGTTATTTAATTCTATCCCCCTTCATTTTCGGATCATTGAATATACCAATGTTATCACCATTTATTTCTACTTAGATTATACCCCTACTATCTTCCCCCAAAATCGATTAATACATCTTTCGGATATTAATATTGGCTATGATTAACTCTATTTTACTAGAAAATCTAATTGTTTAAACCTATATCTAAATTTTGAGTCAAAAGTAACTAGTATTGCATTTTGTCCACTATATTATACTCATGCATGTCAAAAAGAAATATAAATAAACTACAAACTAGAGATCATATTATATTGAAATACTACAAAAGGAAAAAATTATACCTTTTGAAGAAAGTACTTGAATCTAGTAACTAACATTGTTATTTCAATAAGAAATAGGAGACGAAGAAAAGAAGAAACGGTGGAAGAGAAAAGAAGAGATCTATTTATAGTATAGAGATTATTTCAAAGAGGAAATAGAGAAGAAGAATAAAAATACGGTTAAAAAAAAGAGAAGAAAGAGATGGTAGAGATTAAAAAAAAGGTTAAATTAATGAAGAGTAACTTAAGAAATATAAATTTATAATAACGATATTTTTGTCTTGAAAAAATTAATTTTCTGCTCCTACTTCTTGAAAGAAGCTAGAATTTGTTGCTTCTTTCCAAAAGCAAAAACGTTACTTCTACTGATTTTGCTCAAAAGCACTTAATTGTTTTAGCCAAACATCTCAAATTTCTAAGTGTCGTTTCCGAAAAAAAATAAAAAATAAAATTTGACCTCTCAGAATTTTAGCTAAACTAGCGGCCAAACTTTTAACTTTTGCCATGTTAATATCCGGAAAATTGAGACTAGCGGGGACAGACGTAACTTGAGGATATAATATGTTCATTAGCTCATCCTTGTCTTGCACACCGTAAGTTGAAAATGAAGGGAACCTATGATTAATAAATAAAATTCATCCTCACTTTGGCAGAGTT